CACCCCTCCCTACACGCGCTGCCCCGCCCGCTCCCCTCCCTCCCCCCCCCCCCCCGGGTCGTGTCACGAAGGTTCGGGCTTACGCTGCTACCGGCCGCTGCGCAGCTGCCACCTAGCGCTTGGGAATGTATGGTCTGGTGCGGATTCAGCCAACTACCGGCTCGCGACACCAGCGCCACGTAGTGGCGACGGTACATTCTTTTTAGACATACTGTACTTCTCCCGTCACATCGCGTATTGAGAACATGTGGCTGTCTTTGTAAGTATGTACTTACATGAATAAAAGGAAATGGCAGTACAGCTATCATGCTCACCTCCGGAATATACCCCACATCTTGGAAAAAGGCTAAAGTTCGACCAATATTTAAGCGAAAGGGAACTCCGTCTGAATTAAATAATTATCGCCCAATCAGTTTACTTCCGTGCATATCAAAAGTTTTTGAAAAAATTATATTCGCTCATATATATCAACACATTACTGAATTTTCGCTTCTAACCGACAGACAAAGTGGATACCGACCAGGACACAACACTCAACTGCAACTTACATACATGACAGACTTACTGTACAAATCTCTCGACAACGGACGCGACTTCACCATAATATACTTAGACATTTCTCGATATTTTGAAAAGATTTGGCACAAGGGTCTTCTTATTAAGTGTAAAAAGGAGTTTGGAATAACGGACAACTTACTGACGTGGCTTGAATCTTATCTGACGGACCGACAGCAGACAGTTGACATTAATAATATTACATCACAGACACTGACACTTGACGCTGGGGTACCGCAAGGATCGGTTTTAGGGCCACTTCTGGCGATTTTATATTTAAACGGACTATGTGACAAAACCACAAACAAAATGCTTTTTTATGCCGATGACTGCTCTTTATACTCGTCTTACTCTCCAACTGACAACTTTCACGACGCACAAACGACACTACAGAAAGACCTAGACATCATACACAACTACGGACAAACATGGGCTATAACATTCAATGCAACGAAAACCACACAACAAACTTTCTCACATCGACAACAAACTAATCGACCAACCCTTACTTTCGGCGGTAACCCCATTCCAATAGTAAATGACCATAAACATCTCGGCCTCACACTATCCACAGATCTACGCTTTCACACACACATTAATGACGTCCTTCTAAAATTTAATCGTTCTATGGGCCCTTTATACCCAATAGCAAAACACATACCTAAAGGAATGCTTCTATCTCTCTATATTACTTACGTTCAACCTTTCCTCGACTATTGTGACATCACTTACGACGGACACATCACAACGACTGACGGCATGCGACTAGAAAAAGCACAAAACAGAGCAGCACGACTGATCACTGGGACCGGACTTCGGACATCGACCAACGGACTGCGACGAGAACTAGGATGGACTTCTTTGACCGACAGACGGAAAATCCACAAACTTCAGTTTTATCACAAATTAATATTCAATCCTATAGTTCCCGAATTTATTAAGACCATTATTCCTAACACAAGACAGCAAAACACAACACGAACTTTACGAAATATTTCAGCTCAAACAATACCATTGGCCAGAACCACATCCTATCACCGATCCTTCGTCCCATCCTCTACAAGCCTCTGGAACACATTGCCCGAACATCTACGCACAAACAATAACTACTTTACCTTTAAAAAACACCTAAAAGAACTGATTACACAACCCCGTCCACCTCTGTATTATTTCCTAGGCACAAAAACAGGCAACATTTTACACACAAAACTACGACTGAATACTTCAAAACTTAATGCTCATCTTTTCTCCATACAACAAGCTAATTCACCCTCTTGCACTTGCGGCTATAATTCTGAGAACACAAAACATTTCCTACTTTCCTGTCCACTTTATCATACTCAGCGAAACATTCTTTACAACACCGTGTCGCCCGTCATCCGCACTGACTTTTCCACTCTCCCTTCCTCCAAACAACTCGACATCCTTATCCACGGTACAGACCTGAGTCGTGAGGAGGGCCGTGTGGTTGCCACCGCTGTCCAATCCTTCATCATCCATACCCATCGCTTATAAAATACAACATCCCAGTCCCAATCCTCACCACTACCGTGGTCGGACGAGTGGGCGCGGTGCGGGGCAGCCTTGCAGTGCCGCCGGGGTCGCGGAGCGTTACCGGGCTTGGGCGGTCCGGTCGATCGACGATCACTTTGACTTGTTTTGCAACATAAATATTTTTATTCCGTTCTTCTTGTTCCATTGTGTTTCATCATTATTATTGTTGCTAAATACGTTAAGTACTTCTCGTTTAGCAAGCGGCGCCATGATTTAAGTGCGTAGCACTTTTGCGCCAATTGCATACTTTATTTGTTATATTCATCTGTTTGTTATTGAATAAATGGTCTCTCTCTCTCTCTCATCATTGAATGCCGTGTGTCCCAGTCAATCTAAAAGTTATATGAAGCCAAGCGCTTAGTGCGACAGTGCAGTTGCTTCTCGTTGAGCTCTCTGGCCAGCGTCTCAGATGGTGTCGAGAGCGATCACCGTATCAGCACACTCAGTGAGCGCACCTCTGCGTCTCCGACCCACATCAGACTCCGCATCCGACTGACGCTTCCCCGCGGCGGCCGACCCAGCGCCGGGTCACGGCCGCCCCGAGGCAGCCAATCAGCGACCGACAGCGAGCACCGCCGCAGGCGGCCCACGACCCGGACGCGTATTCCCCGATTATATGACATTTTTGAAAACATCGGCCCAGTTTTAATAGTAGCCACAAAAAGTATGTTTAGCGAAGTCTTGAATTGACCACATGGACAGTTTCATGTGCAAGAGACCTTTCTGCAAGAAGACAGAGGTGGCAACGGTCACATCATCCCCTTCCCTACCCATCGTGACTGAAAAGTTGGTTAGAGCTGATGATGATTAACGTCACCGAAATTAAAGCCGGGATTAGTTAACCCTCGCCCATGTAGGGGGGTGCAACCCCCCCTGAGGCTTTTCAGAAATAGTGCAAAAACGGCGGCACGCAGCGCCGCCAAATTTTGGGTACCTTATGGGGCAAACCTTGCGCATCTTTTGATAAAAAAAAATTTGACCGGGTCATGTCAGGTCACTGAGTTATGACGTCACAAAGGGAACAGCCTCCGGCCGGATTTTCACAAACTGAGTGCCAACGCCCGAGGTTTCCTGCCGGTGGTACGGACATCGGTTGATGGATCGTGATGAAACTTCCCATGCATATTGGGGCAAGCCTATTGGCTATCATATGGTATAAGAAACTTGACCGGGTCAGGTCAGGTCACGGAGCTATGACGTCACAAGAGGCACAGCGTCCGGTGCTATTTTTGAAAAGCGCCCGAACCACTATTTTGCTAATTCTTGTCACCTCAATGGGAATATGCAGCAATATTAGCTTCTATAGGGAGCAAATGGACATCCCAAATCCAAAAATACAATCAGATTTCAAAAATTTAAATTTTGATTTTTCGAATTTCTGCCGCCGACTGTGACCTTCCCGACTTCCGCGCTCCCAACGCGCCATTTTTAGAGCTAGGGAAACGAAATACATACCAAACGATAGAGAATTGATCAAGGAACACGATAGTGAAGATTTCAAGTCGATATCTCCCACCGTTTTGCCGCAATCGCCGCGGAAAGTTGAAAAAAGTCTATTTTTCCGAAAATTTGACCTTTGACCGGTCAAAAGTAGGTCAAATGTTGACCTAGGACCAAAAATATACCACCAATCGCGAGATCTCGGCGAGAGCAATCCGTTGGTCTTTTCCGCTAAGCTCTACGACGCTCTGTTTTCAAACGCCAAGGGGGGGGTCGCACCAACCCCCCCCCTGCATGGGCGAAGGTGGCAGATCGCCGTTTACGGGCGAGGGTTAATCCACGTTCTGTAGGTACGACAAAATTTTAAAAATAAAAAATACAACGCATGGATGCTATCGATGCTCATATATTTGATTGACAAACCTTATTTCATCGATAAGGCCGACTTTAACCCGCGCCCCGCTGGGGGTCCTGGATTTCCACGCCCTGCTGGGGGGGGGGGTGTTTGAACACCCCCCTCTTCTAACTCGGCTCCTGGGCCACGTAGCGATACGCGGAAGGCGGCGTTCGAAAGAGCGTCAAAAATAATGAGGAAATCACTTCGGTCAATTTTTTGGTCAGGTCAAAGGTCAGGTCACCAGAGGTCATTGAAGGCAAAATTTCGCCGATTTCCAGGTCGAATGTCGAAAATTTCCAAGAAGCCAACGCATAACTCGGGAACCAATAGAGCTACAGCGCCGCGGAAAAGCGCATTCGATAGCCCTATTAACGCCTTTTCTGAGTAATTCTCTCAGATTTGACCTAACGTCAACGGTTTTGCCTGCAGGGGGCAAAAACTGCAAAAATTGCCGATTTTTTTCGGAAACAGTTTTTCTGCAATAACTTTTGACCCAAGCCTTGTACGAGCTCACTTTTACCGGCATCGTGTTCCTCTCGTCAAGACGCATCGAATGAACTATAATTTGACCTTGAAAGGTCAACTTGAAAATTTGACCTCAGGTTAAGGTCATGACCTGACCGGAAAGGGTCATGTTGCATATCAGTCGATCCGTATCGTCGAGCTGAACACCTCTTTGTAATTCAGTGTTTGGGAGTGTTTATAATGTCTTTCGTCCAAAAGAAGCGCATTTCAATTTTCTCCCATTGTCTTATAATGGGGAGTTCGCAAAATTAACCTGACCATCGATATCAAAATTCTGAGATATACATTTTGTACATGCTATTGCTCTTAGCAATCGCTGAAAATTTCAAAGCGATCGGTCACTCGGTGTAGCTATGACAGACATTGAAACTTTTTATGAGGTGAGGTCACTTCAAGTGACCTGGTGACCTGACCTTGAATGACCTTGGTCTGAAATTTTTACAACATGTGTAGAATTGATGTCGTTTTTGAGATATTCGCGAAAAACCACAAGGGGGATGTTCAAACACCCCCCCAGCAGGGCGCGGGTTAAGATGATGCAACAACCAGCACATTTCTATGCAACATTCATCACCATACAGACAGAGGAGGTATTTGCTTAACGACCATACCCGGCATAACCGTCCTGTCCGACATCAGCACTATATTCGTAGGCGTATCGGCCGTATCCACCGTGTCCAGCGTCGTATCCACCGTGCCCATATCCACCAGATCCACCGTGTCCATATCCCTTTCGTCGATATCCGCCAGAACCGTATCCGTCATGGCCACCGATTCCCTGAGCCTGAGCGTAGACCTTGGCCTTCCCTCCAGTGAACGTGCTGTATCCTCCGTATCCGCCGTATCCACCGCCCTGGTTTCCGCTGTGATGAAACAAAAGTATCATCAGTATTCAAAGGATACTCCAGCGTTACAAAGTACGCCTGGGCTATGTTGAGCCTACTGGTAAAAAAAAAAAAAAAAAAAATACGTGACAAAGCACCCACGCAAAAACGTATCATGAAATTTTTTAATTCGTATGTAGAATGCTAAAAACAGAGATAGGCGTTCATCAATTGCAAGTTAAAGCTCTAAACAAAAAACAATTTTATTTTCATTTCCCACTACAAGAAGTCATATTGAACACTTACATACGCCATTTGTAACATGCAAACTGATACTTACATTTTGTTGGCATGAGTCTGATGAATTCCGTAATTGCTGCTGCCCCAGGGGTTATATCTGAGGACAATTCATTGGTAGGCATAACGTGTCATAAATCATAACCACACCAACCAAACCAATGAAATATGGACGGCATTACGATGAAAGGCAATATAATCACATGTTTAATCGGTATATACCACGCTAATGTGCAACATAAAGATGATCTCACTGTTGCACGCTGACGTCACTTTGCAGTCCCTCCAGTGGCCCGCCAGGTATTCCATCGGCAGTCGCGACCATCGCACACAGCGACAAAACGATCATCTGGAAACAAACAGTGTTAGATGATGGGCCGAGAGCTGTGCAGTGTAAAACAGTCCGTATATTGAGATGTAGCTAAAGACTGACACATTGAGCTAAACCTAAACTACACGAGATACACAAATACTGGCAAATAAAGGGTTAGGTTCTAAGCTATTAGCCCAAAGTTTTCCATAGAATGACGAAACCCGGATATACCAGTAAGTAATAGTTTGTACAGCTCTTTTGAGCCACACTGAAAATAAATTAACACTCGCGTGCCGGTGACACGAAAAAAAGCACCAATGAGAGGCGTTTTGGTAGGGTGTAACACAACTCAACTGTGTAACTGTGGGGTGTAACGCCGAAGAATGGTGCAATTACTCGGTGTTCAAAATCAACACCGACAATTAACACCAATGCCACCTCAGACCAACCGACGCTACGGATAAATAACACCACCATTTGGTGTCAACACCCCGTGACAGAGACGTTATATCGAATACGCCACACAATGGTGTAGCTCCCAGTTCATTGACCTTTAAACGGTGTTACTAGCACCGTTACCATGGATCGGATATGGCCTTGGATTCAAGGTCAGCCGGCCGCCGGCCAGCGCGAGCGGCTGCGCGTGCACATGCGTAAATTCAAATGAACGGCGGCGTGTTGATTCGCGCTTCAGTTTGAGTCGAGTGATGCGGGGCTGTGTGGAGACTGGAGGTGGTGTGAGAAAGGGCTGCGGAGTCGGAGTCGGAGTCGGAGTCGGAGTCGGTCGGAGTCGACAGTTGTGACCGGAGTCGGAGTCGGAGTCGGAGTCGCTTTTAGAAACCCGATCCGGAGTCGGAGTCGGAGTCACCGAAAATATGTCGACACCGCAGCCCTGCTAGGTCTGCGGAGTCGGACTCGGGAGTTGGAGTCAGTCGGAGTCGACAATTCTGCCCGGAGTCGGAGTCGGAGTCGGAGCTGGTTTTTGAAAGCCGGAGTCGGAGTCGGAGTCGGAGTCGCCGAAAATCCATCGACTCCGCAGCCCTGTGTGAGATAAATAAGTGATAAATAAGTGTGATAAATAAGTGTGATAAATAAGTGTGATAAATAAGTGTGATAAATAAGTGTGAGATAAATGTCTGGTCTGTTATGTTGTCAGCAGAGTCCGGTGACCACCCGTGCACTTGAGAAAGCGTCACTCACAGTTGCCGCAATTTTTGTTAATAACATTTGTTTATTGCTCGTCTCGGACGTTACAAAATAAATTGTCTTTATTTAAGGAATGCTTTGCTTTGTATGGGGTCTAGGGAAGCCACAGTATACCCATATGGACTTGTCACATATGTTCACACAGACCCATGCACACGTATATATATATATATATATATATATATATATATATATATATATATATATATATATATATATATATATATATTAATTCATCGAGCTGCAGCTACACCAAACACCGGTGTATCTCCTTCACAACACCGGAAGAGGGTGTACCCAATTGGCTACTAACACCACACATTGGTGTAAGGGTATTTGTTTTGTACCCGTAAAGAAGGTGCAAATTAGTGGTGTAGCACCTTTTTATGGTGTAAAGACGTCGTGTAGCACCACAAACTGGTGTACTTACAGTGATTTAACGCAATACGCCAGTGTATGTGCCTGGTGTTACACCAGGATTCAGTGTATGCTTACACCAAAGCTTGGTGTTGAAACTACACCGGTGCAGGTGCTCAAAAACGGTGGGGTGTAAACATTTCCTAAAAAGGTGTAAACACCAGGAGCGGGTGTGAATTTATTTTCAGTGCAGTCATATCTCACCCTGATCATGTTTGGTCTGTTTTAGTGGCCGCTGTGTGCTGACTGCAACTTTTCTGCCAACAGTCAGTCTTATATACAGCCACTGAGTACCCCCTTGCCGGTCTTATTTTTACCCCGCAACAAGCGGTGGTGACCGCTGCACCGTTGGGCCGAGTCTCTCACTCTTGTGGGACATGAGTCCACCTGACCTTGGTCCGAATTTTCACACCGCAGGTGACCGGTAACCACGCGTTTCGGCTGCAGAGAGGCGGACGGTTCTCACGGATCTCGGGACGGTGAAGTCTGTGCGAACAAGACACTCCGCTCCGCACAGGGGATTTGGGGTACTTCAGTGAGTGCCGACCCGTAACAGAGAGTAACGGTTCCCAATTGGAAACGCAGCATTCCATAAGGTTACGCAATATTTCACAGATATATGTCGTCTAAGTGCATGGAAAGATTCAATACAGCTGATGGACATTGTGTTCTCGTGTAAAACTTCCGTTTATCCACTCAATGTCACAGAAAGTAGGTATGTATATTGCGCCTGCATGCCTTACATTAGCCTGCGACCCGTTGAGAGGAAGGTTTGTGGTTTTTCGGAGATGTCTAAGAAACGGAAGCGAATTTCGACTTGTGAAAAACTTACTTATTACAAAGCGTCGCTATTTTACTATGTATAAGCTTGCCCTAATCACTGTTTCTAGTGACCTGGTGACTTGTTCTGAAATGGTTGGGAATTGACATTGGAATTGTGGAATGTTCTAAGAGGGTGTCCCATAGAGCATGCCAAATTTGGCGGAGCTACACGCCACCGTTTCACGCTATCTGCGAAAATAACAGCTTTTGGGGTGTTTCAATCCCCTACCCTGACGAGGGCTTTACAGACTATCCCATGAATACGTTATTACTCAGCAATACTGCTGGATACATTCATTCTATTGACACGACAACACACATACGTTTACATTGAACATTCAAATACTCGGACAACAATTACACGGAAAACAACAAAAAATTACCCCGTTCAATAGTCTTGTATGTGTTTCTAGTGTCCGTATCCGCTGTATCCACCATGTCCGACATCGGTGCTGTATCCGTAGGAATATCCACCGCCGTATCCGCCGTGTCCACCGCCGTATCCGCCGTGTCCACCGCCGTATCCGCCGTATCCACCGCCGTATCCACCGTGTCCATACCCACCAGATCCCTGGGCCTGGGCGTAGACCTTAGCGTATCCTCCGACAAACTTGCCGTATCCTCCGTATCCGCCGTATCCACCGCTATGGCCGCTGCCAAAGAAAACAAAAATCGAATAAAATTCCTCCCATATGGATGGTTCCATTTACATTGGAATCATGAGTTGCTTAAATGTAGCAAAGTATTTTATTATCAGTTATGATACAGGTTTAATATGAATCAAAAGAGCCCCTCGCTTACATTCTCGTTGAGAAAATCTCACCGAATGTAATATCACTGAAGCAATTAATTTGTACATTACTGTGTTTTATTTATCTCTTACTTGTTTTTGGAATGTAAGATAGCTGTAAAATCATATTACTGTATGCCTGGTCTATTCAAATACATTAGCCAGAGGGGTGTGGTAATAACTGGTGTAAGCAAATTGACCACGGTCAAAAATGCATTACCAGAATGCACTTAAGCCAACATTTTGGGATGTTCTCGTTCCTAAGTCGGCTAAGAGCTTCGGTCCAGAAAATAAATTTATCGTTGGCATCGTTGGCATACAGTAAAATACATACCAAACTCGGCCGGTGATAAATTTTCAAGACCTCAGTCCTTACTGATTTTTGAACTCGGCCTTCGGCCTCGTTCAAAAATCCAGTAAGGACCTCGGTCTTGAAAATTTATTTACACCGGCCTCGTTCAGTATTATATATTACAACCAATATAACGCCTTTGGGGCGACCAACGGAGCGAGCAAAAGGGTGAGCCTTGCACGTACGGAATTTCGAGGTGGGTAGGTACATACCTCCAACAGACTTGTGCACGGCACGCTACTAACCGGTCTCTAGCGTTGTACCAAATTTGAGCGCCATCGGCCCAGCCGTTCTCGATATCTGGAAACGACCCCTCCACGTGTGCACGTGCAGCAGCACCACAACTCTGGCACATGAATATGCATTGCCTAGTGGGTGCCTACCTACATGCCAATTGCCAACTTTCAGCGCAATCAGCCAAGTAGTTACTGAGATATTGCAACTATTACAAAACCCCTTCGTTTTGCACGTGGCACCGGCGTAAGGGTTCACCCACATGCATCGGGAATTGTCCAATACTTGGTAGAAGGAATGAAGCTACGCTACAAAAATTACCGCGTGTAAATCGGTCAAGTGGTTGCTGAGATATAAGCCTCGCAAAAGCGTCCGCACGGCCGGCCGGCCGCTCATACTCAGAACTTTCCGTTAATCTAAGGAAAGACTACGCTCGCTTCGCTCGCTCCGTAAAACCGTCACTCAAAAAGAAAAAATAACACTTCCGTAAGGGGACTTTACAGGATAAAATATTTTGGTAAAAGGTTATTAACCCGCGCCCTGCTGGGGGGGGGGGGGTGTTTGAAAACCCCCGTTGTGGTTTTTCGCGAATATTTAAAAAACGGCGGCGAATGCATGCGAAAACCGGCGGCGAATACATCAATTCTACACATGTTGTAAAAATTTCAGACCAAGGTTATTCAAGGTCAGGTCACCAGGTCACTTGAAGTGACCTCACCTCATAAAAAGTTTCAATGTCTGTCATAGCTACATCGAGTGACCGATCGCTTTGAAACTTTCAACGATTGCTAAGAGCAATAGCACGTACAAAATGGTTATCTCAGAATTTTGATATCGATGACCTAAGGTCAGGTCAATTTTGCGACCTCCCCATTACCTATAAGTCAATGGGAGAAAATTGAAATGCGCCTCTTTTGGACAAAAGGCATTATAAACACTCTCAAACACTGAATTACAAGTGGCTTAGACACACTGAACATGAAAATGGTGTCCGTGACCCCTGTTTATGCCCTGAGGTCATCTTAGGTCACGAATGGTATCTATCTAACAGTTTTTCGCAAATAAATTTTGATAGAGGCATGCTAGAGCGATGAAAACGCATTAGATGTGTTCCGCTCGACGATACGGATCGACTGATATGCAACATGACCCTTTCAGGTCAGGTCATGACCTTGACGTGAGGTCAAATTTTCAAGTTGACCTTTCAAGGTCAAGTTATAGTTCAATCGATGCGTCTTGACAAGAGGAACACGATGCCGGTAAAAGTAAGCTCGTGCAAGGCTTGGGTCAAAAGTTATTGCAGAAAAACTGTTTCCGAAAAAATCGGCTATTTTTGCAGTTTTTGCCCCCTGCAGGCAGAACCGTTGACGTTAGGTCAAATCTGAGAAAATTATTCGGAAAGGGCGTTAATAGGGCTATCGAATGCGCTTTTCCGTGGCGCTGTAGCTCTATTGGTTCCCGAGTTATGCGTTGGCATCTTGGAAATTGTCGACATTCGACCTGGAAATCGGCGAAATTTTGCCTTCAATGACCTCTGGTGACCTGACCTTTGACCTGACCAAAAAATTGCCAGAAGTGATTTCGTCATTATTTTTGACGCTCTTTCGAACGCCGCCTTCCGCGTATCGCTACGTGACCCAGGAGCCGAGTTAGAAGGGGGTGTTCAGACACACACCCCCCCCCCCCCCCAGCAGGGCGTGGAAATCCAGGACCCCCAGCCGGGCGCGGGTTAAGTGAATTTAGAACGTACCAGCAAGCAAAGGAACGATGACTTTCTTGATAATTCTATACTTACGCGTAAGTGGCGTGAGTCTGATGAACTCCGTACTTGCTGCTGCCCCAGGGATTGTACCTGAAAAAAACGTGTGTGTTAGCAGCTAGGATGTTAGGTGCGATGCTTTTCGAGGTTCGGTTTCCTCCCGAATATCATTACGCGGACCTAAAGTGGCTCGCATTGGGTAGTTCAGGAAATATCTATTTTGAAATGCCGTTTCACGGGACGTTAAGCTTTTAGTCTAGATGCTTTAGGTGATTTCAATTCGTTTTCCGACGGCGAAACGGATGAAATGATTAACGTTCTGTTTAATAAACTCACTGTTGGACGCTGACGTGGCTCTGGGCACCATATCCGCCACCATATCCACCGCCGGCAGCCGCAGCGGCCACACACAGGGCGAATACGACAAACTGAAAACGAAAACGAGGGGGGTTAAGAGACAATCCCGCCGATATTTCTTGCTATCCTAAAGGCTGAAACAGACTCTTTCCGCGTTCAGGACATGGCATGCGAGAACCTATTCAAAATCGCATCCGGGAGGTGTGTGCGATTGATGCGAGCGTGCTTCCAGCTTCCATGTATTGAAATAGGCTCTCGCATGCGATTTCCTGACTGCCGAAAGAGTCTGTTTCAGGCATAAAGCCTTTGCTATTTTTGTGCCTGCATTGAATTCATTTCCGATTTTAGCAAAAGTGAACAACATGGTTGGATGTTGTCTCCTCTGCCTGAATCCTACCAAAACCTCATGAAATATGGCATGCTTGTGCAAATATTGGCGAAAAGCTTCAAATGACAAGCGTTGCAGGCACCTTTTCAAGTTCTTTCCTCCACGGGACATTTACACCAATCTGATCTCATTACCACAGAATGTTTGGCTGTCTGTTTTCATTGTCGCGGTACTGCTTACCTTGATCATGTTGGTTGCCCGGTGTCTGTGTTGACTATGCCGCCGCTGCCGCTGTCCGACCATTTATACAGCCCGTGTCCCCTGAAGGCGTGGTCTGGTCGTGACCTTTGGGGAGTGGTCGTGTCTCCGGGAGACAGGTCACCCTTCAGCGACCCCACCCGGGTCCTGCATGGCCAGCCGGCTCACTCAGCTGTGACTTAGCTGTGAAATCCGGTTACCCACCTGTCACTTAGCGACTGCGACAACCGGGCCACGCAGCTGTGACCTGACGATGCATCCGTTTTCGTACAGGACAAGCCTGCAATACCCTGAATGTCCACCATGTGTCCGTATGCGTCTACCAGCTATGTTGTATGCCCTGGGACATGTTAAAAGGTGCAGCACGGACCACGAGCCTAGCCGAGCGGCCGGGGCGCCGCTCCAGATCCTTCCACTCCTGCTGGTGCCGTCTGTTCTGGTCCTGCAGCCCTGATGGTGCAGTCTCTTCTGCCACTCCAGCTCCTGGCAATGATGTCTCCTCTGCCATTCCAGCTCCTCGCAGTGACGTCTCCTTTGCCACTCCAGCTGCTCGCAGTGACGTCTCCTCTGCCACTCCAGCTCCTCGCAGTGACGTCTCCTCTGCTCTGCCATTCCAGCTCCTGGCAATGATGTCTCCTCTGCCACTCCAGCTCCTGGCAGTGACGTCTCCTCTGCCACTCCAGCTCCTCGCAGTGACGTCTCCTCTGCCATTCCAGCTCCTCGCGGTGACGTCTCCTCTGCCACTCCAGCTCCTCGCAGTGCAGTCTCCTCTGCCACTCCAGCTCCTCGCAGTGACGTCTCCTCTGCTTCTCCAGCTCCTCGCAGTGACGTCTCCTCTGCCACTCCAGCTCCTCGCAGTGACGTCTCCTCTGCCACTCCAGCTCCTCGCAGTGACGTCCCCTCTGCCACTCCAGCTCCTGGCAGTGACGTCTCCTATGCCACTCCAGCTCCTGGTAGTGACGTCTCCTCTGCCACTCCAGCTCCTCGCAGTGACGTCTCCTCTGCCACTCCAGCTCCTCGCAGTGACGTCTCCTCTGCCACTCCAGCTCTTGGCAGTGCTGGTCATTCAGTCGGTTTTGCTGCAGTCCCCTTTCTCCACACCAAGTAATGTTTTGCTGTTTAACCTTTTTGACTTTTTGATTTTTTTTAGTTTAAATTCCCAAAAATATAAATCCGAGATTGCAGTTTTATAGCTCTGTCGATTCTTCATCTTTTATGTGCTCAAACATTTTTTTTGTATCTTCAAGGCTGTAGGCCTGTCCGGCCCTGACAGCTCTTCTTGCGAAACTTTTTTTTTGGTCGAAAAAGGCAGATCATGATGTCATCCTGACGTCATTTGTGGCCAACCAATCATAGCCTCTGGATTTTTTTTTTGTCACCATGTGTAACTTTGATGCCAGGAGGGGTCCTAAAAGTTTGGTGGCGAATGCGATATCTCCAGCCGTTTAGGAGTTATCTACGGAAAAGACCAGGAGGGGGGCGAAACGCCCCCCCCCAACGGGGCGCGGGGTAAGATGTTTACTTAGCCTCATTATACCTTAATGTGACTCATTGGCCACCTGAGCGATCGTTGTCTTTTTCAAATTTGTCACATCCATGAATGGCATTGATGTACGGCAGTCCCGATAAATGGGAAACGAGCAAAAGGTGCACGGTGTATCAGAAGTTAGTATCACTCACTAGCGCACGATCAAAAGCCTTAATTTCCAATAATGCTGCTAGGAATATATAACTGAGTGAAAATATGGAAACGGGTCCAAAACTCTGATGAGGCAGTTGCAACTCTTCCGTTCTTCTTCCAGCGCATCGCAAGCCCAGAAACTTGAGAGTGGAACATGATATCGCTATGGCATGAGTTACATAGTCTTTTAAAGTCAACCTTTCTATATTTACCTTTGTTCAAGTAGTGTGCTACCTGACATCTGTGCATGCCATCCACTTTCTTCAAGCTCTAGCTGTTCTTAGATTGACTTTTCCATCTCCTTCTCCAATAGCAAATAATTACAATCTTAGAAACCCGAGCATATTATTGGTACCTCCGTCCTATGTGCCTCGAACATCTCAGATACATTCCTGATATCCCTACAACAACCAAAACTGTTTGATACTAAGCAGTCAATAGCAAGAAAAAAGTACTTTTAGACCAAGTAGTTATTATATCAATCAGCGCAATAAGTAACGTAGAGACAGTACCGATTTGTAGGACTCACTAATTTTAATTGGATGCCTACTTTTGGTATACAAATCCCAAAATTAAACGAATTTAGGTACTGTTTTACATTTCCAGTCTCACATTTTTTCATCTTCTTGGTTTTCATCAACCTTCGAAAATTGGCGAAAGGTTGCTATGTTTCTTAATGCCTCATATTTTTTTGTATTATTCCATGGCTTTGGTCGATAATTGGTTTGGCATTTGGTTTGCCATCGGTTTCCAAATTACGTATATCGACACCTTTTTTTAAAACCCCACATCTGTTCTCCGGTGAATTTCCGGGAAGTACGAAAGATCTCTTTTTAGAAGTGTCCAATCGTCCGATCCTGATCAAATTTGTGTGTTTGTAAGCTTGCTCTGGCATTGCTTGATCTGCCAAGACAGACAAACTTGAGAAAAATCGAGTGACTGTACGTTTTTTGAAGGTTTCTAAACAACTTGTCTGAACTTCACGGGAGAACAAATGTGGGGTTTAAAAAAAAGGTGTCGATGTATGCAATTGGCATCACCACGACATACCTTACGACATGACAGCCCGCACCACTGTAGCTGGTAGATCGTGGCGTTAGGTGTGACCGTTCAGCTCAGTGACCGCGGCACACGCGTCTAAAGGTCACCAGTGTCCCAGTGCTGATAACCAGCGGGAAATGTGTGACAGGAGGGGAGGGTTGACCTTCCGTCCCCCGGCGGCACTGGTCAAGTCACGACCCGACCCCGCACCTCGGGGTGGACACGGACTTTATAAATGGTCGGACAGCGGGCAGCAGAAACACAGTCAACACCGACCAGTCACCGAGCAACAAAACATGATCAAGGTAAGTTAAAAATAGTTTAATCGCGCTCCTGCAACACCTGAAAGTCGAATGACTTAGGTGCTTCAGCAGGAAAAAAATGCATTCTTCCCAATAAGGATAATTAGAACAGAGATAATTTTAGAATAGCAGCGTCTTATCCGTTACTGTGTTCTGTATCCCGAGCAAACCGCCAGAATTAATCATCCTCCTTTGTTTCAGTTTGCCGTTCTCGCCCTGTGTGTGGCCGCCGCGGCTGCCGGCGGTGGATATGGTGGTGGATATGGTGCCCAGAGCCACGTCAGCGTCCAACAGTATGTAAACTAAAATAGTGAACCATTTACACACAACTGACAACAAGGCAAATTTTCAACTTCGCCAGTACAAACGGATTACCTACCAGATCCCTTCAGCCGTTCTTGACCTAAACCAATCGTACAAAATAGCTTCTCCACTAGGCAATACGAGCCACTTTGCTAAATTGATTTTCAATTTGCTATAGTAACCAATCAATGAAAGCTGGTAAAGTGTCACAAGTGATTTTCATTCTTTTTACCCACGCACCTTTTTCAGGTACAATCCCTGGGGCAGCAGCAAATACGGAGTTCACCAGACTCACGCCACTTATGCGTAAGTATGAAACAAAGAAGTTCGAGCTATTTGTTGTTCATTGTCTGCTGGCTCCCTTGAATGACATATAACCAACTCGAGCTCGTACTGAAATATAGTTGTTGCTCATGAGATTCAGCGTGATGCTTAAATGCCTTTTCATACAAAACCCAAAATAGGAGATGTTTTATCCTGTTATGTCTTTTTTCTTGTGATATATACAAGTATGTAGGTATTAGTGATGTTAACTACCACAAACCAAAACAACTTGCAAAATTAAGAGAAAGGCATTCTTTTTTTAAATCCTAGGCTCCTATACTGCCATTTTACGAGTAAGATCATTCATAATGGTTACACACAAAATATCAAAAGCACTAGTATCGAAATACCTAACTCCAAGTTGGTATCGGTTTGGTGGTACACAAAAAAAAATATTGGAATCTGATTGACACATCTGAAAGGTATGCAAATAACAAGGATCTATTTTATCTCGACAGCGGCCATGGCGGTGGATACGGCGGATACGGAGGATACGGCAAGTTTGTCGGAGGTCACGCCAAGGTCTACGCTCAGGCCCAGGGATCTGATGGATATGGACACGGCGGATACGGCGGTGGACACGGTGGATACGGCGGTGGACACGGCGGATACGGCGGTGGATATTCCTACGGATACAGCGCTGATGTCGGACACGGTGGATACGGCCACTAATTTAATTATATTGAGCGTCGTAACATCGCTGTAACATTGTCTGATGTTGTAGGCCATATTTATGTTAGAGCTTGTACGTGTAACGACCGAGGCGACCCCTACTCTGAGTCGTCGACTGCGCCGGCCGCCGCCGGGCAGTCAGTCTTGGTCAGTCTCTGCCGAGTCTCGGCAGTCCACCGACGATTCACGCTCATAGTGAGCCTCGGTCACTCGCTATGTGACCCAGTCTCTCTCGCTCTCGGTCTCTCTCCTGGACTCTCTCTATTTCTCTATCTCTCGTCTGTCTCGAGTCAAGAAATACAGTGAGGTGCCGAACTGAACTCTTTTTATCAAGAAGATTCCACGGCGAACATTTTAATTTGTTACAATCGCCAATTCATCGTGTTTGTGTGATGTGTAAGTGTGATGTGTGCAGTTTCCTATAAAGAATTTAAAATATACTGCAGAGGAAGGACAAGTTTGTGGAGTCAGAATCAAGTACCTAATTTTTGTTTCTTTCATATTTCAAAGATACATTCTTTTCATGGTTTGAATATTGATATTGATGTGATTGCAGGCCATATCCAAGAGCTAAGATATGACTGAGGCAGTTTGTGCTCAGCTCCACATATTTGTAGCACCGTATAATATTCACAATTATAGCTAGTCACCTAGAGCGTGGGAGCGTCGATCTCTGATGTGTGTCCCTGCCCTCATTTGTCTAATCAGTCCTCGGGTGGTCGGCAGTGTCGGGGGATTATCGTGACCCGGACCGGGGGCTCACAGGGGTGTCCATTTCACTGACTAGGCTAGCTGATAAGACAGTCACAGCGGTAAAGTCCGGACCAGTACCTGCCGCTGCTGATTCCGAGGGACGCCAATGTTCCCATCAGCCCTTCCGTCTGACCCCCACTGCGCCGCGCCACCGTCCGTGCCGGGGAGCTATTAGCGGCGCGTTGACACCGGCCGGTGGTCTTCTGTGAGGACATTAGGTGGTGAGATTAGTGTCCCATCAATCACGCGGGGTCGGATTAGGTTTGAAGCGGGTCCTCTCTGATATTCCGGCCCTAAGCTGCTCTCCTATGGCATGTAACCGGCACGATCTTTATGCACCGTGAGAACGCTGTTTGGAAGAGATACTGATTTGAATTCTCCAATAACCACAGCCACATTGTCATAACTAGGTTCGGTAAAAATGTGTGTTAGCTTCTCAAATGTTTGTAAATTTCAAAAACATTTCTTAATTTTCATCTTAACCTTCGCCCCAGCGGGGGCAAAGGTTAAGGTTAACATACCCCAGTGGGCGTATGTTACCACCCTGTCGCGTTTTTACGTGTGAATAGAAAACCGCGGCGCGTGGAGCCGCGCCACATTTTTAGAGCCAGAAGCCTGATTGTTTGCATAACTGCTACTCTATCCTTTCTTGATGTCCACTGCAAATTTCAAGCTTCTGTGGTTTTTGGTTTCGGAGATATTACCTTGTTCTTTAGGTCATGTCATCAGCCAAATGACAAATATCCAATATCTTGCGTTGGGTATGGGTGTTGTGAGCTTTTGACAACTTGATTTCGGCCTTTTTTGCCAGTCTTACCTCCCACCTATCATGGAACATGTTGTTCGACGATGTACAGATGTCAAGGTCGGGGTCAAGGTCAACCTAGGTCCTAGGTCTTCTAAAAACATTGCGCTTTAGGCAAGCTGATTTCGTGAAGTTTCTTTGACTGTATTTTTGATAAAAGCTTCTCATTTCATGATCTCATGTAATGTGGACACATTTATCAATCGGTGCACACATCATTATACACACAGACACACACAGACATACATACACATAACATTGACCTTGACCTAACTTGACCTGAAATGACCTCAGCAGCAAAAACCTGGTCGGACAGTGTGACAAAGAGGATCTAGCTGCCTTGGCACCACAATTCGGCATCGTCATCGGTGTATGATGAGCAGCGCACTTGATGTCCAACGGTGACCAAAACAGCAACATATTTTAGTTTGACCTGACCTGGAAGGTCAATGACTGGTCTGAGAAGGTATAATTGGGTATCATTGGATTCGTCTCTTCCCAAAGATTTTTTTGGTCCTTACCGCGAAGCTCTATCTCCAACAGGAACGAAATGGCGCGGGGGGTGGCAACCCCCCTCCCCCCATGTGCGTTCTAGGATGGGAAAATGGCACGTGTGGGCGAGGGTTATATATAATATCACACGGGGCCGGTAAAATGTTTCATTCAGGACCGAGGGATTTGTTGAGTTTTCCGCACAAGACCGAAGGTCGAGGGCGGAAAATTCAACAAAGCCCGAGGTCCTGAATGAAACATTCCGGCCCAAGTGTGATATTTATTTTAGCATATGCCGTTTAATTTCCCTATTTAAGCTTCTTTAACAATTTTACATGCTTGAAAGAAGTGAAAAAACCAAGAACGAATATCAAGAACTAATGTAGTTATAAATGGACAAGTATTGTATCGAGAGTACATGAACCTCCAGGCTCCACGAATCAAATTAAAACAGTTACATTTAAGGCGTACCGGTTTCGTCTATTGACTTCTTCAGCGCCGCCTTGTTACGGCGCTGAAGAAGTCAATAGACGAAACCGGTACGCCTTAAATGTAACTGTTTTAATTTGATTCGTGGAGCCTGGAGGTTCATGTACTCTCGATACAATCAAGAACTAAAAAATGTACATATTCCCTGACCAAGATAATAAACCAAGCCGACTCAAGATCACTGTGTTCCATCCTTGTGTCTGGCTCTGAGTTGGATTCATATCAAACCAAGAACATCTATTTCAATCTATGTCATATGAGAAGCTAGAGTAACGTTCGTTTTCAATATTAGAGAAGAGTGGAAGGTATACCATCCTGTGAAGTGAGCGCTTGGTTTTTTACCCATGTCAGTATGAATAAAGTTTTTACTGATCAATGTGAAATGCGTTTTTTGTCAATTCATTGCAGTTGTAAAGGGCATGAAATTGACGCCATAAATGTGGGTGATTAATTAATATGTCTGTATATTAGGATTTAAAATATTATCTTATTGAAAACCAACATTTACAATCGTTCAATAGTTCAAAGCGACCAAATGCAACACGTAAGTTCACGTTAGATTTCTATCAGTTAAGCTCTTTTCCAGCGCCTTCCTCCCTCTCAGGAAATGCTTCAAAAGTTCGCTGATAAAATGTTTTGCCCATGGGCCGAAACCTTTGTCCAATTGCCTTCAACATTATGCGGTTTAATCCAAAAAGCTTTTACCGCACGCTCGCGCTAATGCTAAAGGCATACTTCGGCATATGCTAAAATGATATATCGATTCACATGCAGTTTTATAATAATTTGTAACATGTATATCCCAACTGCTCTGATTAGCTGTCTCGCTGCACACAATAGAAACCCTTTAAAAATCAGTCTGAGAGGGCGCGAAAGAAAAAAGAAAGACAGGTAAGAGAGTGAGAGAAAGAGGGGGAAGATGTCACTTGAAGTATTTGCTGTTTCTTTTCTTTTGACAACGTGACGGGAAAACTAGTGTGGACAGTGGTGGACAGTGGTGAAATTGCAATGGTGGTGCTGTTGGATCTATCCAAATGTTTTGATGTGGTTGACCACGGAAAGCTCCTCGAGAAGCTTCACCTTCACGGTGTAGACACTCACTGGTTCGAAAACTACCTGCGCAACCATCGTCAAAAGGTGTCATTTACCTGTAGACATCGTGATCATCTGACGTCACAGCCTCGTGTAAATCCCATCGGCGTGTATCAAGGGAGTGCCCTCGGGCCATTGCTGTACACGATCTTCTCTAATGTCAGCCTCCATGTTGAGAGGGATGTGCATATCACACAGTACGCGGACGATACACAGATCATCGTATCCGGTAGGCGGGCAGACCTGGCTGAGGTTTCGGATAGGCTGGAGCGTGCGGTCTCCACAATGTACCAATGGTTTGGACAGCATGCCATGAAACTGAATGCCGGCAAAACTAAACTGATCGTGGTCGGAACGCAACAGATGTTGAAACGCCTGCCACCCGTCTCCATCACTGTTGGGACCACTCGCATAGAGGAGAGTGACACTGTTCGCAATCTTGGAGTGACATTTGATCGGTCTCTGACATTCTCTGCTCACATCGCTGACATTAAAACACGCTGTACGGGACTGCTTGTAGCCCTGTCACACGTCAGGCACAGTCTTCCTGGTGAGCTCGTCAGCACTGTGGTGGAGAGTCTGGTGATTTCGATTGTACGTTATTGCCTTTCTGTGTACGGTAGCGCAAACCAGACAAACATGAAGCAGGTCCAAGCAATCCTTAATTTCTGCGCCAGAGTCATGACAAACCGTCGTAAGTTCGACCATATATCTGACGTGATACAACAAAGCCCTGTACTGAACGCAAACCGTCTAGCCTATTATCACAACGTGACCACACTACACAGTAGGTATCATTACAACAGGACAGCCTGACTGCCTTTCGAATAGTCTTAGTCAGAACATCGAAATCACCGGCAGAAACACGCGTCACTCGGGTGACATCCGCTTACCGCCCGTACAGCACAACAGCGGCAAACGACAGTTCTTGTACCGTGCGGTAGCCGACTATAACGCCCTGCCGCCCCAAGTTAGAGCGCGGAACAGAACACGTTTTGCAGCCGCAGTGAAGAGAAACTGTCTCTCTGTCGTGAGTACGTGAACGCTGGATGCCTTGTCGGTGTTAAACTGTAGATATGCGTGCGAGAGTGATGTGTTTGTTACAGTAAATATATTGGTCCCTATTTGTTTATACACTGTTCGACAAAGCACAGTAATAGCCAATTGTGTGTCATCCCATCAGATGTGCATGCTTACATTGGAATGTGCTGCTGAGTGAATACAATACAATACAATAGTGTGATTGAGACATCGAAATAAGTAATGGATGCTTGATGACTTTTATGCAATAATGAAGAACTGCCGCAAAAAAAAAAAAATCAGCAGCCGAACATAAGCTAAGACGTTGTTACCAGCAAGTAGCAACCGAAAAGATGTTACCAGCAACAATAAGTCATTTGTTGTTTTTTAGTTCTTCGAAGTGGTGCTGTAAAAAGCGTCTATTCAAATGATATTTTAATTTTTATATGACGTCAGAGGTTAACATTTGATGAAGGATACTGAACTATTTTCTCCTTTTAATAAACAGTACTTTAAAAAAAGCATTAAAGTAAAGACGTTTAAGGTGACATAAGTAAGAAACATCACATGGTGTGTCAGAAGTGGAAATAGCGGCTAGACTTTAGTTCACCGGCCTTGTCAATAGATGGCAGTACCGCAATATGGGCGGCGGATCGTGCAATTG